ATAGGAATAACCCTCAGGCTTGTAAGTAACAAGTAACAGTTTTCCCCAGTGTGTCCATATTTAGAAAAAACATTACAAAAATGGTTATATTCTTCTTCCTCATCCGTGCCAAAGTCGATTAAATGTACTGCTTGGATTGAGGTATTCCGATGCTCATTGTGCTGTTAGATTTGTCTTCTGTGCCATTCTGCCTAGCAAACAAATGAGAGGGTAAAAACTAGCTAATGAGTTATGCTATAAATTGAAAAATAATTTTCCTTAAAATGAATCAGTTTGAATGAGTACTGTGGAGATTTTCTATTTATTATCAGTACAACACACTCAGATTCCCAGAAGCAAAAAAAATTGTAATGTGTAATTTAATTCATTTTCCTTTGCCTTTTTTAAGGAACTGTGGTCAGCATGTCTGAAAATATGGATGTGATTTCTTTAGTGATAAACAGTTGGCATAAGATACAAGTTACAAATTGGAGGATTTGATATGTCTTGCTTTGCAAGGTTATTCATATTCTATTGATCTGAGTATCTCATCCAACTATTTCTTGAAATACATGATAACATCAACTTTACTGGGCTACTTGTTTTATGCACCCTATACTTAATGTAAAGAATTGTTTTCTGTTCCTAGTCCTCAGCCCAATACAACTTTTGTTTCAGTGTTGAAATAGAAGTAGTTTTTTGGAGTTATATTCCTTTCAGGATTTTGAATATTTGTATAAATTGAAATTTTGGTAACTGGAATTTTGTTGCTTGAATAAAATATATTTTTAATTTTTAATGTTGCCTTCTGATTTGTTTTTAAATTTGAGTTTTTTTATGAATGATTAAAAAGGGAAAGGAATGCAAGGGATTTTAGCTGTCTGTATTTTGATTTTGAATCAAATTGATGTGAAGTGGTGCTGAAATATCAAGGAATGAGGACACATTTATGCATTTATTTTCCTGTGTAAGTAAGATACCAGAAATTCCTGATTATGCCATCAACTGATTTTTTAAAAGAGTTTTAGTGTTTGTCGACAACCATAACAACACACATTTGTGAAATATTTATTTTTTTATTCTTGTCTAACTTTTTTTAATCTAGATTGATCATTTATAATGACCTTACCTCTTTCTGAAGACACAAATACAGTAATTGTTTTATTAATTGTTCTAATATGTAAACTGGGTAAGTGCAGTCTGAATTAAGATCAGTTTTAAGATCAAAGGAAATCTTCACCAAAGATTTTAAGAATTGTTTAACATTTAGTTAAGAGCAGCTTTTGCTGGTGCTTGTTTTTATTAAATGTTATTTCCCTTGCTCATGTATTTTTATTGCTGTTTGAGGAATCATCAGTACATAGTACTTTCAGGTATAGCTTACTAGAATCAGATTGCCTTTAGGATTACTATTTAAATCAAGCTTGATGTTTTGATAGAATCCCTTTGTGTACATACAAATGATGAGCACTGATTGCTGAATTAATTATTCATGGTTCTATCCCAGTTACATTGAATTCAGATGTTGCATGACTTAATTTGTACTGTACCTTGTATTAGGTTTGTACAATAAATGTTCTATGTTCATGTGTCACATAGCTACATTAGTTCTTAAGTGTTTCCTTCCCCTCGTGTGTTGGCAGGAATATTCACCTGCTGTCTAAATGGATTAGAGATTACTCCAGGTTATTACTCCATTCATCCATCAATTTTCTAGCAACTTCATCCAACACAGGGTAGCAGGGGAGCTGGAGCCTGTCTCAGCAAGCAACAGGCACAAGACCCTGGATGGTACACACACTCACACAAGGACCTACGTACAAGTATGTATTTACACTGTAGAACCCACTATAAACCCATGTAAACACTGCAAGAACATGGATACTCCATGCAGATAGCAGTTCAGGTCCACAATTGAACCCAGGGCCCCAGAACTGCGGGACAGCAATGCTAACCACTGCGCCACTTTATGACCCCCGATAGACATTACTATGCAAGATATTACAGCTATTTGACTTGACACACTTGTGGTAATTTAATTTCAAGCAGTCCAAAATCTAGCTTTCACTTCATAGCTCATCAACATTTTGATCCCCTTTCCTCTGGTAACTCGGTTGGAGTTTTATGTGTTATTTTTACTGAGTGACGTTTTCCCATTCTAGCAGAACTAGTTGATTTAGCTGAGTTGAATGTAAAAGTAAAAGTGAAGCACTTGAACTCAGTAGACACATTAGAATTAAATATCCAAAGCTAAAAAAAACAAACAAATGCTACAATCCATCAAGCTGGTGGGTGTTGCACTTCAGTGATGGATGAAGAGGTTCTCTATTTGACTGGGATTTATTCTTGGAAAAGGAATTGTACAATTTGCGGTGGCCTTTACATCACTGATTTTTTCTGTATTTCTCTCCATTTAGTCAATGATAAGAGCAAATGTTTTTTTAAATAATTGGTATATAATGACCACATAGGTGCCAGGGTGTCTGTAATTAAAGTAAAGTATTTTTATTTGTACTGTGAAATGGCTGTCTGCACGATACACTTCATCCCTGGCTGTCATAACTTTTTCATAATTTAAACAGTAATTAAAATGAAAGGCTGTCCTTCATTATCCTCAGCAGTAATTTCTCATTTTTTTCTTTATCACTACTGTGTTAGAGCTCAAACTATGAGAAGTCATGTGTTTTGTTAAATTTGTCAGGAAGCTGTGCAAAAACTTCCTACCAGGCTTGTTTACTGCTGTTTTAACAGTAGGTTTACTTATACACCCTGTCCCCCAAATGGACCCAGTGCTTGGAATGTATGTACATTTTAATGATCTTTTAATTATCTTGGAAAGATAATTGAGTACAGGCCTTGTTAGGGTCTTGAATGAAAGGGCAACCCTTGTACATCCAGTCTGAACTTTTAATTATTTTGTATGTCTTACTTAGTTCACACATTAGAATGAAATATCCAGAACTAAAACAAAAATGTATTTTATTGTCTTTCTTCAAAAGTCAGATTCTTAAGTTGAGACACACTATTTTCACAATTTTCTCTTTCCAGAAATTGTCTAATATGTCTGTTTCCATGAATAAAAGTGATTGAACAAATACAGAGAAATTCTGAATGAATTTTTATAAAGAGACGATCTGGAGTGGTTTTCTCAGCCATCCAAAAATGTGTTATTGTTTAACTTTTGGTGTGTGTTAACCTGTTACTGTTGGTCATTCGTTAAGTTTTTAAGTAGAAAAACCTCAAAAGCTTTTAGACTACAGTATGGTGACATCAAAGATATTTGAATTTGGAATTTCACAGAAAAATGCAGAAAAAGTCTAATTTGAGTGAGGAAGAAATGGTATTTCTCCATTTGTTTGCACAGACTTGAGTGTAAAGAGATAGGGGAATGCCAAACTAAAAGAAAAACAATTCCAGTGTTGGCTTGCCGTTTACTGTGACCAACAATAATAGTACCAATAAGCCAATTGTAGGTATAAGTCTGTCATGTCATTGTAAATGTATTCTGTTCAGTGTTTAAAGAGTAGGCAAAACCTATGTACAGTACATGTTTCTACCATTTCACATCAAGAATAACATATGTACATTTGGAAAGCCGTGTCATTTCTACTTGTCACAGAAACGGCAAAAACAACACATTTGCCTTCACATGGGAATGCTCACTGACACGGAGGTGTATTTCATGTTAACAACAGTACATGTGCTCCTATGGTGTGACGATATTCTACTGTTGTTATAGTCAATGCTACCTTGCATGTTCACAAATTAATTATTGCTTTTAAACACAATAATTTTCTCATTTAAATGCAATATTTCTTTGTATAAACACTGTCCTATCTCGTGTGAATCTCAGTGGGGCTAATAAGCTCCCATAGGTGTTTACTTATGAGAAACAAAAACAATTCTAAAAGCTAACATGCATGAACCTTGTAAACCCTCTTCTCTAAGTCTCTGAATAGTCAGAATGGGCTGAATGACAGCTATTTCTACCTTTTAGATAAGCTTTTTCTATAGCAGATCTTTTCAGATCAAATTCTGTTCTAAAGTGGACTTTTTTTGTCATTTTTCTTTTCGTATAATGTTTCTGGTTTTGTTTTGAACAAGTATTCAGAGCCTAGTTATTGGAGAAAAAAAACAGACTCCTATTAGATTTTCTATATTCTTAAATTTCAGTATTTACACTAACCCAAGAACAAAGTCTCAAAATGTGATGTTGGAAGAAAGTGGAATCAAGATTTTTGTGTTTTTAAAACAAAATTAGCATAACATGGGTATACAAAATTATTAATATTGTTACAGATGGTTGTGAAAATGGTAAAATTCAGAAATTGACCGTGTGGTTTAGTCAATAAGTATAATAAATATTCATAAGCCTCAACTTGTAAGTGATTTCTCTAGAATATACCTGAGTAGCTGGTATAATTAGAGGCATGTGAATTCTTTGTTCTCTGGCTCAGCTTTAGTGAAAGGAGTCATAATCCATGCACACTTGGTTACACAAATGTTTATTAAAAATGACCAGAAAGACACTATGCCATGTACAATAAAACATACAACACACACGTTACTCTATGTATGGTATTTACAAACAAGGCGTTTCAGAGTTCTCCCATCCAGGTACTGGCCAGGCTCACACCTGCTTAGCTTCAGTGGGTTGCTGGTTGTAAGCTGCAGGGTGATATAGCTTCTGATGTCAGAAAAACTTTCACTCTTATGGTTAAGACAACTGCCAAATTAACCATCCTAATTATTTCTTAGATTATTGGATTCTAAAGCCTCAACAAGTAGTTGTCAATGTCTCTTAAATTTAATTATACAATAGACCTAACCCTGTGTATTTGCACAGACAGTATTTTTATTTTTGAAAACTATTACTAGTTTAAACTGCATTGGGTTAATTCTTTAAGTAAAGTAAAATATGTCAAATTTGTTAATTTATTAATTTTCTATGTTTTAGAACAGTTACCAGTGTTTTATTGTGTCGATAAAGCTGATGGGTATTTATCCTTTTGTTTTTGTAGAATCTGGAATGCCCTGACAGATAATTATGGCAATGTGATGCCGGTTGACTGGAAGACATCCCATACACGTTCTCTTCACCTACCCACACTCAATTTGATGGAAAAAAGGGTAAGTTCTAGTTTCAGGTGTGTAGTAACAAGGCCTATTATTTCACTTCGGCTTAAATGTTTTTAATGATTTCTAATAATCCTTGTGTGTGCTGACCAAGCATCCAGGTGCATCTCTCTGTATGCGCAGGAATGTAGCTAAAGAGACCCCTTCTTTGATCTGAGCAACAGAATTACTTAATGGTCTTTGCATGTGGGGAAAGTGAGGTAAGTTTGTCTTTTGGATAACGGTCTTCCCCAGAACACTATCTAAACTCCTGTGACAGATGTCAACTGCTGGTGCCTGAATGTTTAGCAGAGATCTATAGACACATCTGGACCTGATTTTAAAGTTACAGGGCATGGTCAATCACCCAAAAGAAGATCCACCAATTGGGGATCTGTAAGGTGGGTATCAGTACCAATTCTGATGGCCTCTAAGCCAGTCGCCAACTGGTGATGTTGCCTCATTAAACCTTTAACATAACACATGGTTCACTGGTTAGCCACTGACTTGTAATCTATCTAAACTGACAAACTGACTTTAACTACCACATAACTGTAAGCAGTCCAAGTCAGAAAACACATTTCTCCAAGATGTCAAGCTAAGAGAGTGAGTCAGTATAGTGCAGAATTCTGTCCAAGATATTCTTCCTGAAACAAGAAATTTTGTTTATAAACCCACTATTATTTTGGCCTGATCAGTTAAATTAGACAATTGGGCTCTTTCTGTCGAGATCCAGAATTTGTCTACCTTGTGGACCTCAGAAAGACAAACTGGGCACAGAGTGTTAAAGACCAAAGTCAACAAGACGCTACCTTTGGCAGAGCTACCTGAACCCCACCTTACTACAGAAACTCAGCCCAGTGCGAAATTTCAACCCATCAAGGACATTTGGATAATGGATCTTTGAGTATCAAATTTCATTCTCTTTCGAGAATTATAATTCTTGAGAGAGCTATTATTACAAATGCATGTTTGATGTTTAGTTCACGATAGTAAATGTATATTAACTTGTGTCTGAGAATATAAATGTGTTTTAGTTATAAGAGAGTGAAAGAACCTATGAGCTAGATCAGAGGTTCCCAACCTATTACAGCTCGCGGCCCACATGACCGACTGTAAAAACTTCCGTGGCCCATACAAGAACCAGGCCGTAGTCACTGTTTTGAAAGGGGCTAGCGCTATACCTCAGCAGTAGCCTAATCGACACCGGTAATCAGAGAAAATATGCATAAACAATCTACAAACATGGCTTTACAAAGACCTTTTATTGATTACAGAAGGAGCCCAGCCAGCACCTCACAAAATATTAATAAATTAAGTTAAAATAAAAAATATTGTAAAAACTAAGGCACCAGTACAGCGCTTTCTTTATTATGATATCTCACATACTTAACGCTAGCCTTGTGTTATGACCCCAAGTGTCTAGGGGTAAAGGGGTGTAACATTTAGGATAATTATTTTGGAAGCAGGTGGGTTTGGTAAGGGACTAGGAAGCGTGATAAGGGTAAGGAACTAGAGTGGTGCCAAAGAAAAGAAAATAACAAACAAAATGGAGCTGGCTAGGACAGTGAGGGAAAGCTAATCTGACTACAAAAGAAAACCCGAAACACATGGTCTTCGGCGTCTTCAACACCCTAGCTAACCTGCACTGACTACCCAAAACCATACAAGACAAATGGCACTCACCCATACTAAACTAGTGTACTTATACAAAATCAACTAAGTGTGTAAGTGTACCCAACAACCTAAACTAACCTTATATACAAAAGTTCACACAAAAACACAAGTGAACCAGGAATACAAATAAGGGAAAACAAGAGTAATCAACAGGAGCAGGGTACAAAAGAACACAAAAGTTGAACATGTAACACTGGGGCAAGGTAATGACAAAACAAGGATGAACACACAAACAAACGAAAGTACAAAGAAACTAACAGGAAACCAACAAAACAACAAAGCCGAAGCTATACGAAAATACACACACACAAAGCAAAACAAACCAACAAACGAAGCCGAAGCAATAACCAGAAGCGAAGCGAAGCGAAGCGATAACCAAAACCAAACGGGACCGAAGTCAAACGAAAGGCCTTTTCTTTCTGAAAGCCTCCATGTTAAATAGTGAATAAGATGTGTTCTGATTGGCTGAGAGCTAATTAATGATGACATCATACTGAAACAGTGGAGTGATGGTGGGCCAATGGGGAAGGGAGAACAATCAAGGGTCAGCAGTGTGGAACATAGAAAAAACACACACAGAACACACACTGGGACGTAACACCTTGTCAAAAACAAAACTAAACAAGCAGAATCAAAACGAACTGAAAATTTTTCCAGAAGTACGGGGTAGCCTTCATAATGAACTTATGAAGATGTTGAGAAACAAAAATATGCACAACTATCAGGACAATTATAAAACAGAAGTAGATCTTAACTCCCCATCCGTTACATTATATTGAACACGTAGATTTTCCAATGGACACATGAATGCACAGTCACTCCATAGCCTACAACTAGCCTGACAGTAAACACGTACACCTTCTTTCTGGCTCACTTAGTGAGAGGGCTGGCTCTGTTTGACAGATACCAAAAGGTGGATGTTGGGCTACAGAAAGGAAAGCTGCAAGCGGAAGTCTGGCTCAACATGAAGCTTACTCCTGTTTTTGCTCTTTAGCTGCGCGGAAAATGCAGTTTCACAAAGATATGTTGTTAAAAACTGCATCAAAAATCTCACCGCTTTGTCCGAAAGATCAGGATACTCCGAAGAAACATGAAGCCAAAAATTTGTTAAGAATTTCTTTGATAAAATCAGTTTTAAAGCACTGTCACAGGATAGGTCCACTAGGCTGTCTTGTTTCCTTTGCGCTCAAACTTGTGAGGTCCTCTTTGCATAGGTTTACAAAAGGATTTTCAATCCAGCTGAACCGAACATCTGGAGCCAGGAAGCAGTCGCGCAGTTGGGTCCTCAAACTTTGCAGGTGCTCTGAAATTAACTTTGTGACAGAGGCTGGTAGCTGCATTTGTTCTTTTGTTAGAAAATCTGACAAATATTCAAACAAGTCGTAGTTTGACTAGTCAATACATTTGGCTCACATTTCCAGTCTTTTTATTGTCGCTTCTATTTTACTCTGGACGTTAGAAATTGTCACTACTTTACCATGAAGAGTTTCATAACACACACAACACACAGTGGCAGCAGCTCGTTCTCAGTTCCCATGCACATAAAGCCCAGAGCCAGTTGCTAATTTTTCTCTTTTTTTAGTTTGGGTTTGGATTTTGGGTTATCGGTTTGAGACACTGAAGCGGTTTCTTTGCTTGTAGATGGGCCTTCCTCTGTGTCTTTCCTCAGCCCCTGCGGCCTACAGGTTGAAAACCACTGAGCTAGACTGTAACACATTATAGTTGTTGTGTATTTTTAATTCTGAAGTTATTAACTTTGTTATCCCTGAATTAACAATCTCCTACAGGTGCAATGCTGTTAAATTCCTGTGTACAGAGAAGCTGTATACCCAGTCAGGTGGCATTAAAGTAATAATCTGATAATGTCTGTGTGATAGACCCTCCCTGAGGTGAGGTTGCTCTGGGTATCTGTGCACTTAACCTCTGGAGAATAGTCGCTTTGATGTACAAGGTGCTTTATTTCAAGTTTTGGTAGGTTTTACAAAGTAAAGAACTATAAGAAGCCCACCTTCTCAACAATTAAAACTGTAAGCACTCACCCCTGACTTCTAAACCCAGGCCTCCCTATCGCTTTACAAGCCATTTTTATACCAAACATGCCACTAATTAAATCCTGTGTGAAAATGTACATAACAAACAATAATACATTCAGTGAATGCTGGACTTCCAATGAAACTATTTACAAGTGTTAGTGGCCATATTTGACAGAATTACATAGATGGTGCCTGAACCACAATGTTAGAATATAGATTATTTTCTCACCTTATCTTCTGCTTTTACTCATTAACTGCACACAGGGACAAAAGTTGCAGGAAGTCAGAAATATTCAAAACAAAATGTTTGTATGCAAAATATTCTCCATTCTCCGTAAACAGTGCTTATTGGGGCATTGAAATCTTGTCTGTTTTGTTGTAGACGTTGTGAGTCATGACAGCCACAGACCAGAGCTTCCCTCCACTCTGAGCTTGCTGCCCGATCACAAAGGATATACTGTGATTTTGTGAATTAAAATCCGAGGTGTGGTTCAATGAGAAATGGCTGTACAAACAAATTCACACCAAGTGATGATAGTTTTGTGATTAACTGGGAGAGTAGCATGGCTGTGGATTTTAATTTGCATTAGAGTTCTCTCTTGTCTCCTAGAATTTGAAACAAGGGGATGTGTTTTTAATTTGCTCAATGTACTAATAAGACCATATGTAGCAATTTTGCTGTCCATGATACAAAAACATTGTTGAGCACTGACATTCTTGGTCTTAAAGGAATGTCCTACTCTCATAGTTAAATTCAGTCTTTTAAGTCTTGAACCCTCAAAGGCATTGACAAAGACAAGGACTTCAAAATCAGCACTGAAACAAAAAGTAAAAAACACAAGAAAAACTTTGGGAATGTTTATGTATAACTGAGAACAAGGGTCATAGGTGTCTGATACAAACTACACCGCCATGTTGACAAAGTATAATTATAATTGTTTAGTCCTGATTTGAAAGATTTAGGGATGAGATTCTTTGATCAGATAGTTGTAAGCCACCAAAGCAACTATGGGTGACCAGTGGCTGGCTTTCATTTGTAACTAGTGCTGGGCGATAATTATCGCGATATAATTTTCCGCGATATAATTTTAACAGAAGTTCAATAAATGTTTGATATGCGCAGAAAATGCGCAGAAAATACTGCGCGAGTGCGCATGCGTGTTGCAGACCGGGCAGCTAATATGGTGTTGTTTACCCACACGGTGGTGGCTGACAGGATTGTAGTTAGATTGGAGAAATGAGCGACACTGAAGCAAATGTAGTGCTGCCAACGACCAGCTCGAAGGACAATGACATCGTCGACAG